GGGAGCTGCTGCGCATCCCCGAGCGCCTCCTGTTCATCATCGACGGCTTCGACGAGCTCCAGCCCTCCTTCCACGACCCCCGCGGCCCCTGGTGCGTGTGCTGGGAGGAGAAGTGGCCCCCCGCGCTGCTCCTCTGCAGCCTGATTCACAAGAAGCTGCTGCCCGAGGCGTCTCTGCTCATCACCACCAGGCCCACGGCGCTGGAGAGGCTGCAGCGGCTGCTCGAGCATCCCAGGCACGTGGAGATCCTGGGCTTCTCGGAGGCCGAGAGGAAGGAGTACTTCTACAAGTACTTCCAGGACGCCGAGCGGGCCCGCCACGTCTTCAGCTTCGTGCGGGACAACGAGCCCCTGTTCACGCTGTGCTTCGTGCCGCTGGTGTGCTGGGTGGTGTGCACCTGCCTCAAGCAGCAGCTGGAGGGCGGGGGGCTCCGGAGACAGGCCACCCGGACCACCACGGCCGTGTACCTGCTCTACCTGCTGAGCCTGATGCAGCCCAAGCCGGGGTCCCCGACGCTCCAGCGCCCGCCCAACCAGACGGGGCTGTGCTCCTTGGCGGCCGACGGCCTCTGGAGCCAGAAGATCCTCTTCGAGGAGCAGGACCTGCGGAGGCACGGCCTGGACGGGGCGGACGTCTCCTCCTTCCTCAACATGAACATCTTCCAGAAGGACATCAACTGCGAGAAGTTCTACAGCTTCATCCACCTGAGCTTCCAGGAGTTCTTCGCCGCCGTGTACTATGTCCTGGACGGGGCGGACCGGGAGGAGCGCGTTGGCCCTCACCGTCCGCTTCCTGTTCGGGCTCCTGAACGAGGAGGCCAGGAGCTACCTGGAGAAGACGCTGGGCTGGAAGGTCTCGCCGCGCGTCCAGGCGGAGCTGCTGGAGTGGATCCGGGGCAAGGCGCTGAGCGAGGGCTCCACGCTGCAGCAGGGAGCCCTGGAGCTGCTCAGCTGCCTCTACGAGATCCAGGAGGAGGCGTTCATCCGGCGGGCCCTGAGCCATTTCCAGGTGGTCGTGGTCAGCAACATGGCCACCAAGATGGAGCACGCGGTCTCCGCCTTCTGCCTGAAGCACTGCACCAACGCCCTGGTGCTGCACCTGCACGGGGCCGCCTACCGGGCGGACGAGGAGGAGGAGGAGGAAGAGGAGGAGGAGGAGGGGGCCAGGCGGGCGTCGGGGCCCCAGACGCTACTGGCACCATCGTAAGTACTGGCTGTCCAAGCGCAGGCTCCTAACCAAGTTCATGTTCTCAGCCAGGGGGTGACGAGGCCCCAGCGAGGGCATCCTTGGCACCATCTGGAGAAATACTTGGTGGTGATGACCCTGGGGAAATGGAGGGGGGGGCGCTGCCTGCATCTCGAGGGGAGAGGGCAGGGAGGCTGGCGGACACCCTCCCGGGACAGGGCCACCCCACAACAAAGTGGTCTGGCTGCCCCATGTCAGTAGTATCCCGGTTGGCTTTCTCCTCTGACACAATAGCCATGAGGACTAAGTTGGGGCCTATGTCAAGGAGGTTGTGTTCAATCAAGAAATATTACTCAGCCCGGCCGGCGTGGCTCAGTGGATAGAGCGTCGGCCTGTGGACTGAAGGGTCCCAGGTTCGATTCCGGCCAAGGGCATGTACCTGGGTTGCGGGCACATCCCCAGTAGGGAGTGTGCAGGAGGCAGCTGATCAATGTTTCTCTATCATGATGTTTCTCTCTCATCGATGTTCCTAACTCTCTATCCCTCTCCCTTCCTCTCTGTAAAAAAAATCAATAAAATATTTTTTTTAAAAAAGAAATATTACTCAGCCCAGCCAGCGTGGCTCAGTGGTTGAGCATTGACCTATGAGTCAGGAGGTAACGGGTCAATTCTCGGTCAGGGCACATGCCCAGGTTGTGGGCTCCACCCCCAGTGAGCTGATCAATGATTCTCTCTCATCTCGGATGTTTCTATCTCTCTCTAGCTCTCCCTTCCTCTCCAAAATCAATAAAAGTTTATTTTAAAAAAATAAATAAATATTATCTAAACACTTGTACATCACTAACTGCATGGAGCCCTGGCTGGTGGTGGCTTAGTTCGTTGGAGCGTCATCCCACACACCAAAAGGTGGTGGGTTTGATTCCTGGTCAGAGCACATACCCAGGGTGTGGGTTCAGTCCCCAGTAGGGTGAGTATGGAGGCAACCGATTGATGTTTCTTTCTCTAAAAATCAATAAAATAGACGGATGGATAGATAGATAGATAGATAGATAGATAGATAGATAGATAAAGAAGAGTCAGGCCAGTGTGGCTCCGTGGTTGAGTGTAGACCCATGAAGTTACAGGTTTGATTCCCGGTCAGGGCCAATGCTCAGGTTGTCGGCTCAATCCCCAATAGGGGGCCTGCAGGAGACGGCTGATTAATAATTCTCTCTCATCGTTGATGTTTCTATCTCTTCCTCTTCCTCCCTCTCTGAAATCAATAAAGAAATATTTTTAAAAAGAAAAAGAAAAAAGAAGAGGTGGTATATATATATAATGGAATACTAGTCAGCCATAAAAAAGGTGATATTGTCATTTGTGACAACGTGTGTGGATCTTGAGGGTATTGTGCTAAGTGAAAAAAGTCAGACAGAAAAGTATCAATACCATATGATCACACTCCTCTATGGAATATAATACAAAAAGGTAGCAAAGGAACAAACAAAACAAACACATAGATACAGACCACAGTATGGTGGCCACCCGAGGGGAAGGGTGAATGAGTAAAGGGGTCCAATACATGGTGACAGACGGAAACTTGGCTGTTGGTGGCAATGATGCCATAGAGCAGGGGTCCTCAAACTTTTTAAACAGGGGGCCAGTTCACTGTCCCTCAGACCGTTGGAGGGCCGGACTATAGTTTTAAAAAACACTATGAACAAATTCCTATGCACACTGCAACATATCTTATTTTGAAGTAAAAAAACAAAACGGGAACAAATACAATATTTGTATTTGCATGTGGCCCGCGGGCCGTAGTTTGAGAACCCCTGCCATAGAGTATGTAGATAGCAAATCATAATGTTGTACACCTGAAAGGTATATACTGTTATTAACCAATGTTACCTCAACATAAAAAAAAATTATCTTCAAGATGAAATCCATCTCCCCTCCCTAGTCCCAGGATTTAGGTCTGGTCTCTACTACGCACCAGCTATGTGACCTTGGGCAAGGAATGCAGGGTCATTCAGGAGGTAAATTAAAATGAAGACGACAGAATGCTTTCGAAATTATGAAGTGATGACCAAATGCCAAACATAATCATTGTAAAGCGACTGGGAACGCTGAACTGACCAGCCCTACCCGGTTTGACTCATTAGATAGAGCATCAATCAGCCCGAGGACTGAAGGGTTCTGGGTTCGACTCAGGTCAAGGGCACATACCTCGGTTTCAAGCTCGATCCCCGTCCCTGGTTGGGGTGCGTGTAGGAGAAGCAACCAATCGATGTATCTCTCTCACATTGATGTTTCTCTCTCTGTCTCTCCCCCTCCCTTCCACTCTCTCTAAAAAAATCAATGGAGCCCTAGCCAGTTTGGTTCAGTGGATAGAGCGTCAGCCTGCATACTGAAGGGTCCTGGGTTCAATTCCGGTCAAGGGCACATGTCCAGGTTGTGGGCTTCATCCCTAGTAGGGGGCATGCAGGAGGCAGCCGACCAATGATGCTCTCTCATCATTGATGTTTCTCTCTCTCTCTCCCTCTTCCTTCCTCTCTGAAATCAATAAAAAATATATTTAAAAAATAAAATAAATAAAAATAAGTGGAAAAATTATCCTTGGGTGAGGATAAACAAAAAATATTTTTAAACAAACAAGCTTGCCCTAGCCGGTTTGGCTCAGTGGATAGAGCGTCGGCCTGTGAACTGAAAGGTCCCAGGTTCGATTCCGGTCAGGGGCACATGCCTGGGTTGCGGGCTCGATCCCCAGTTGGGGGGCTTGCAGGAGGCAGCCAATCCATGATTCTCTCTCATCATTGATGTTTCTCTCTCTCTCTCCCTCTTCCTTCCTCTCTGAAATCAATAAAAATATATTTGTTTAAAAAAACAAGCTTATTTAAAACAAACAAAACAAAAAACAACTGAACTGACCTGTAGTTCCTTCACGCAGCCCCGAGAGGAACGTTTTGCCAGACGCCTACAGCGACCAGCTGGCCAACGCGCTGAGCACCAACCCGAATCTGATAGAGCTGGCTTTGTACCACAATGCCCTGGGGAGCCAGGGGGTGAAGCTGCTGTGTCAAGGGCTCAGACACCCCAACTGCAAACTTCAGAATCTGAGGTGAGTCTAGCTGGTCTGGGAGCTCCTGGTGGTCCCACCACGCCCTCGCGTGGGGCTCTCTGTCAGAAAAGAACTCGGGACGGTGTGTGACTTTGCTCCGGCTGCCGTCACAAAGGGCCACCGTCCGGGTGACTTAACAGAAAGGAATTTCTCGCAAGTCTGGAGGCTGGCAGCCCAAGATCCAGGTGTTGGCAGGGTTGGTGTCTCCTGAGGCCTCCTGCCTCAGCTTGCAGGGGGCCGTCTTTCCCTGTCTTCTCACAGGGTCTTCCCTCTCTGTGTGTGTCTGTGTCCTGGTCTCTCCTTATGAGGACACCAGTCCTATTGGACCAGGTCTCATTCTAATGACCTCATTCTAACTGAACCAGCCCTGGCCAGGTAGCTCAGTTGGTTCCAGCATCGTCCCCATATGCCCAGGTTGCAGGTTCCACCCCAGGTCAAGGAACGTACATGAATCAACCAATCCTATATGATAAAAGCCTAATGTGCTAAGTGTCCAACCATTCGTTTGACCATTTGACCAGTCGCTATGATGCACACTGACCACCAGGGGGCACACGCTCCAACTGGTAGGTTAGCTTGCTGCTGGGGTCCAGCCTGTCAGGACAGGGCGAGACAGGCCAGACAAACCCTGGACGAATCCGTGTACCGGGCCTCTAGTGAATGCATAAATAAGTATAACAACAAGTCTCTCTCTCTCTCTCTCTTTCTCTCTCAGAGGGCAAGACAGGCCAGACAAACCCTGGATGAATCCGTGTACCGGGCCTCTAGTGAATGCATAAATAGGTATAACAAGTCTCTCTCTCTCTCTCTCTCTCTCTCTCTTTCTCTCTCTAAAATAAACAAATATCAAATGCAGTGGGAACTCTTAAAATAGGGGGAGAGCCCTAGCTGGTTTGGCTCAGTGGATAGAGCGCCAGCCTCCAGACTGAAGGGTCCCAGGTTCGATTCCGGTCAACGGCACATGCCCAGGTTGTGGGCTCGGTCCCCAGTAGGTGGATAGGCTGCCTCCTGCACGCCCCCTACTGGGGGATCCAGCCTGCAACCCAGGCATGTGCCCTTGGCCGGAATCAAACCTGGGACCCTTCAGTCCGCAGGCTGAAGCTCTATCCACTGAGCCAACCCAGCTAGGGCAAAAATATATTTTTTTAAAAAATAAAAATTAAACCCTGGCGCATCAGCTATTATACTTGGGACTCTGCCTCTCACTCTATATGCTGACTTCAAGCCATTCACCCAGGAGTTCGGTCGGAACCTGAATTACTCCACACACCCCTCCTTTCCAGCTGCGTTGTTCAGGTACTATGTGGTGCACGCCCCACTGGTGTCTATTCACAGGCCACTTTGGTAGTTGTGTATCTGCTGTGTATGTGATTTGACAAGCCAGTCTTTTTTTTTTTAAATAAATGGCTTTATTAAAAAAAATAAAATTAGCCGAAACCGGTTTGGCTCAGTGGATAGAGCGTCGGCCTGCAGCCTGAAAGGTCCCAGGTTCGATTCCGGTCAA